GCCTCGCCTGCGGCCCCGCGGCCCCCGAGTGCGCTCTGCGGCCCCGGCACCCGGGCCCCGCCGCAGCCTCGGCCCCCGGCGCCCCGAGGCCGCACTACCTGGGCGCGTCGGTCATCATCTCCAACGGCAGGTGACGAAGCCGCAGCCCGGCCTCGCCCGCCCGAGCCCAGCAGACGGCCGGCCGTGCGCAGCTGCTGCAGGGCTCCGCGGCCGCTTGAGAGCTGCACCGCAGGTGCCACCTCGCGGGCGGAGCGGGGGACGCGGTGGGGCAGGGCCGCCCGTCCCTGACCCGCAACGCCCGCCGCGACCTCGAGCTCCCCGCCTTTGACTGAGGACACTTGGTTTCTTCCCCTTGACATGGAGCTTCGGTCATCTTGCGACATCCCCAGCGCTGGCGACGGGGATTTAAGGCGTTGCAAGTCGAGACACGGAGGAGGGGAGAGGGGAGCCCCGGTTCCAGGCGGGCGGCCACAGGAGGGAAGCTTTCTTCTCCCGTCCCGAGGTAAAGGCAGAGGTAGTCATTTTGAGTTCCCTGAACAGACAACTCCGCTGTCTTTAAAGTCATTCATGAGTCTTACTAATTTCTAAAACATTTAATCCTTTCTTGAATACAAAAATCAGCAAGCCAAGTCCATTGTGTGTGCATGCGTGTGTGTGTACGCAGGTGTTTCACAAACACGTGAACAAGCGCTTCTGACCTCGGCCCCCGAGGACTGCGGAACAGCACTTCAGAATGTACTGGGTAGGCGTTAAATGCAGAGCTGTGACCGGGTCCCCAGCCCGCCCGCCCTGCACAGCTGTAACCCACTGACTCGCGTTGCTCGCCGCGCTGTGCTTAGGTGAGTTGCATGTGCAATATGGAGACGGCGACGGCCTCGCCTAAGGGATGCCACGAGCAGGACGGACACATCGCAGGCGTGTTCTGTATAGCAGCTTCCTTGAAGGGTCAGCGTGCGCAACAGGTGGACAGAGCTCGTTTATAAAGCACCAGCAGTGTTTGAAAAATAAACGCCCATTACTTTTCTTGCATTTTTATGGTTTTTGCTCAAAGATGCACCATTTAAAAATCCTCATCATGGCTGTGATTTGGATGGATGCCTTGAGTTGCAGGCTTCTGATTCGCTCCGTGCTATGTCAGCACTTCGTCGTTTTGCTGCTTTTTCGAAAACGGTTTACTTTCAGGAAACTTCTTCCACCTTCTGAGTGGAGGGGGCTTTTCACACCTTTTGAGGTCCCTCCAGAATCAAAGGGCTCTCGAAAGGTCAACTGATCTTTTGCCAGGGCCCAGTGAGGACCCTATTATTCCCTGCAGGGTGCACCTGGCTTACAGTGGCAGAGTTACAATGTACACACTGAGGAACATTTGTCACCTGGCGGGGCTGGATGAGCCCACCACTCCCCCAGCTCGGTGCTGTCGCGGTGTGCACTACAGGAAGCCAGGAGTCTCCTAAAGAAACCATAATTCTTGAGAGGCATAGGTTTGATAAATAGACATCACCGACATTTTTCAATAAAGTACCGAAAACTGCTTTTTTGTGTCTACTTTGTTATTAACCCTTGGGGCTGTGTTCAGTATGCACAAATGGTGAAGGCTTCCGAAGCAGTTCAGTAGCAAAGGTTACTGCTGAGAAAAATGGCCCTGCTATATAGACTTACGGATGATGCAAATAGGCTTAACAAAGAGTACGTGTGTACTTGGAAAAGAAAATGTGTTAGTGGAAAACACCTCGTCTGAAACAACACGAGTTTTTATAGCCTAGAACAGGAAGATGCCCCTGAAAGCTGCTTCAGGATGGCCAGGGGCTCCCCAAAAGTGACCCCGTGGTTACCATGGCAACCTAATAGCATAACCTCCGTTTTTTAAGCGTCCAAATCCTGCAGCCAATGAGGTATCAATCCTAGGTTTCTGTGAATTTCTGGCAGGGAAAGGGGAAGTATTTTAATAAATCTGTCTCTCACAGAAAAAAATTGTAAGGGGCCCTAATGTACCATGTTGACAAAAAAAGCGAGCTCAAGTGGATTTGAGACATCAGCCTAATTCAGGACCAGCTGGGCCCTCCACAGGACCCCCCAGGAATGAAGTGCCTTATTATCTGAAGCTGTTTTCTAGAAAAGCCCTTCCATTCCATTCGGATCTCTGCAGAGGTGAGGGCCTGTGTTTCCCCACCCCCTCCCCAAGGTGGGGGCAGCACCAGTGCCCCAGAATAAAGTCTGCCAGGTTCTGATTTACTGGAGCTGTCAGACCTCCAAGGCAGATGGTGGGGGCTGCTGCAAATGAAATAGAATCAAAAGGGCATTTTCAAATCAATACTGCAAAATCACAATAGCTTATTTTGGTGCATTGGGTTATCAGAAATGCGTAATTCACATCATTCCTAAACTTAAGTATAGAATATAAGGCTAAGATCTCGGGGGAAATACTTTTGACAAAGATCAATTGGTTTTCACAAAAAAATACGAAAAATCCCTAAAGAACGGAATCTAAATTGTCACATTCAATTTATTCCTCAACTCAGTTAAAAAATTTTTAGTTTTTACTTCTGGGTTTTGCTAACTTTCTTTGGAGTAATAAGATTTCTCTATTGTCAAAACTACATTAAAACAAAAACCAAGGGGCTGGGGATTTAGCTCAGTGTTTCGCTGCCTGCTGCACAGATGCAAGGGCCCGAGTTCGATACCTGGTACCTTAAAAAAAAAAAAAAAAAACCAAAACACAAAAAAGATGCCTGGCTTAACACTTCAGAAATTCATACATATTCCTTATTATGTAAAAACATTTTATTTATTTTGTAAAAAATGTTTAAACAAAAAATGACTTACCAAAAGCAGCCTGTTTTTTAAAATGAAATTTGTGAGTTAAGAAGAATGAGCCTGAACGATGGAGAAAGTTTTATGTTTATTTTGGTAGACTTGCTTTTTATAGGCATTGGTCTAAAGTGATTCTTTGCAGAAATGACTCTTTGAAAAGTTAAAGAAAAAAGCCAAGGTGGACACTTGAGCTGCCCGTGGGGCCTGGGGTCCCTCCCTAGGTCTCCCCCAGGCCTCCGATGGGCCACTTGTTCCCAAGTCAGGTCACACCAGTGTGCTACAGTGTCACTTGCAGGCACGGACCCTTCCTGCCCACCTCCACCACAGCCCCCCAGGCCTCCTGAGCTGCTCCACCAGGGCCACGGAAACCCTGGTACTGTGTCCCATTACACAGGCCACTGCCCCAGGAATCCAGAACTGAGGATCCCTTGCCTTCTGACAAAATGTGGTAGATGCTCAATGCACTTTATTATTATTATTATTTTTTTTTTTTTTTGGTTTTTTGAGATGGTCTCGCTACGTAGTTCAGGCTGGCCTAGTACTGGCAGCAATCCTCCTGCCTCAGCCTCTCAAGTGCTGGGATTACAGGCATGTGCCGCCACACGAAGCTCTCAATGCACTTTAAACTGGGGGATGATAATCCAGTACTGTAAACACTTGTGGTGATCCTGAGTTGAATGGCCCAGTTTTAAAGATGACAAAGAAAATGTAATTTCAGTGGAGATGTTAAAGCTCCCGAGTGCATGAGCACCCCGTTGTGGAGTCTGCCGCAGCAGACCGATTTCTCTGGTGCAAACTGTAAAAGGCCATCATTTTCTCCGTGAAGCAGAATTTCAACAGTCTTTGGCTCATGTGAGGCAGAACCAGGTTTATGGAAAGTGTGGCCTATTTTTGTCTCTCCCAACACGACTGGCTGTCCTGCACATCCAGGAACGCCCCCCAAAAGCTGATTTCACAGGGCCAAGTGGTGTGCACGGGATATCTCAGGGAGCTTTGACATGGCCACACTTCATCAGTTTTAATTTACAGAAAGGAAATTAAATGATAATGTTTTTCCCTCAAAGCAGAGCTATCTAGAATAAGCCTTCACAGTATGTTTTTCATTAAATAATTCCCCAAAGAAATTAAACAAAACAACAACAACAACCACAACCACGGCCCCTCAGAGTTGACCTGCCTTCTGCTGCGAGCTCAGAAACGAAGCTGGGGCACTGGCCAGCAGAGCCCACCCCGTGACACTCCACGGTGGACTGTTACTTCAACGTGCCATTCACTCCAGAAGAAGACCTGGCCATTTAAGAGAGAGTGATTTCTTAAGAAAAATAATTCTAATGGAAGCCTTATTTGCAAACATGACTTCTGAAGTCCTCTTACAGTAACATTTCCAAAACACACAGATCAGGTTGGGAGACTTAACTAAACATGGTGTTTTTTTCCTCCTATGGGGCTGTCTATGCCTGGCTCAAGGCAGGCAGATTTTACACCGAAAACCACAAGTTTCTGGAATTAGCCTGGCTGCGTAAGACCAGCGTGAGGAAGGTGCTGGTTTACAGTGAGGGGGGTCTTGTTCAAAGCTGAGTGTGGTGTCCAGTTTTCTTTCCACTGACTTCAGCTGGGGCTGGCAGGAAGTGAGAAGAGTGAACAGAAATTGGGCTGTTGAAGCTAAAAAGCTTGGGTGTGCTCCGTGAGTGTGGGAGAGATGGACCTGCCCAGGAAGCAGGGTGTACGTCTGGAGATGGTAAACGCACAAAGGCTTCCTCTTCTCTGTCCTGCCGCAGAGCCGTTTAGGACCTCAGATTTGGACTGTCTTCTTTGAAAGCTACATGGAGGCCACATGCATGCATATTCTTCCAGCAAACATGGCTTTCAGTATCAGTATCGTTTTCTTTCTTGGCAATAGAAGGAAGTAGAGAGCAAAAATTAAGACTTTCAAATTCAATGCCATAGTGCCAGGCATGGTGGCACAAGCCTGTAATCCCAGCACTTGGGAGGCTGAAGCAGGAGGATCACTGTATGAGGCTGGCCTGGGCTACACAGTGAGTGCAAGGTCAGCCTGAGCTATATATACATAGCAAGACCGTCTCAAAGACAACAACGAAAAGTACAATGCCGCGTACTCTACCTTCTGAGTGTACAGACTCTGCAGGGACGCTCCAGAAAGTTCCTTCAAAGCTCCCGAAGCCCTGGCTGCATGTGGCACGAGAGAGCCTTCACCTCCCCCTGCGGAGCTGGATCTGCTCCTGCCCCAAGCTGCTCCTCCACATCTGAAGGGCCTTGGGCCTGATCCACGTCTTCAACTGGAACTCAGGAAGGAGAGTTCCCGAAACCACGTGAGGATAAGGAACCGGTTCCAAGGTTCTTATGCGCGGGCATGGGTGTTCCTCGCCGGGCGATCCACCGCCTTCTCTCTCCACTGACAGCCTCTGTCCAGTCCGCGGGAACTGGAACGGGCCGCCCCTCCAAGGGACCACCTGTGCCCGGGGCGTTTCTCCTTTGCTTTTTTAATAGCTTAGGGCTGAAAAGGCCTCCACTACTAGAAAATCATTTGAATGATTCCATTCCTGTTTCCACGTAAAAAAAATTTCCCCAGTAAACCCAAAGCCAAGCTCAAAGGAAGGGGCTGATTTAGCACCCCGTGTGGGGCTTCACCTAAACTCTTTCACCTGTCTGCCTTCCACCTGGAAGCATCTTCAAACACCCAGTGAAACAACAAAACCTTTAAAAATCAGAAAAATAGGGAAAAATAGAGTTAACAAATGACTTGAGGGAGGAAAAATCACCCTCAACACTACATTAGCTTTCCAGGTCCTGGCTAGGGTGGCGGCGACAGAGTGCCACGCTTGCTGTGGACTCGGGGCCTGCGCACTCCGCCCAGCCAGGCCAGGCCCTGCTACTGCCGTTTGGGCAGGATGAGGTTGCGCAGCATGTCGAAGGAGTTACCATCGGGGTGCACGGTCACCACCTCGCCGCCCTCCTGGTGGACCTGCAGGAACCCCAAGTCATCCAGGCCCACAATCCACACCTTCTGGCCCTCGGCGCTGCCCAGACGGACTTGCTGGCCGCTGCAAAGGAAGCACAGCAGGGTTACAGAGTGTGACTCTGCAAAATAACTGTCCCTTCTACTAAGGGCCGGGGGTACTGGGGAGAGGACTGAGGCTGACCACGGTGGCAGGAGAGCCCCCTCTGAGCTTTGTTTTCATTACTACTAAATAACCAGGGTCAGCCAGGCATGATGCACACACTGTAATCCTAGCATTGGGGAGGCTGAGCCAGGAGGATCGCCTGAAGTACCTAGCGAGACCATGTCAAAAAAATGAAATAAAATAAAAAATAAATAAAATAACCAGGGTCGTGGATTGGGACTTCTCCAGATTCTGATCATCAGGCTGCTGACCCTGCCCCTCTACCCACAGCAGTCCTAGACACCTGTAACTCAGTCTTTGCAGCTGAGACCGAGGCACAGGGGAGAGAAGAGACTGTCTTATAAAGTTAGGCAGCATCATTCTGCTCCTGCTTCCTCTGGTTGTTTTCCAAAGCAACTGTTAACTTACATCCTTGGCAACAGTTTTCAAAGTAGAGAACCCACCCCATTTTTATTATAGTTTTAAAAACTTTACTTATTAATTTTTGTGGTACTGGGGATGAAACGCAGGGCCTCATATACATCCCAGGCAAACGCTCTATCCCTGAGCCAGAACTTCAGGTCCCCTCGCCCCAAATATTTATTTTGAAGAATTTCAAACCTCCAGAAAAGCTGAGAGAATGGTCCACCAACCTCACCTTCCCCTACCAAATGACAGCGTTTTCCTTTCCATATTTGCTTTTTCTCTTGACCCACATTCATTTTCCTGCATCATTAAAAATAAGCTCCAGGCATCATGACCCTTGGTGCTTAAACTTTAGTGTGTGTCTCCCTAGCAAAACAGCAATCCCCCCAAACCCTAACCCCACGCCACCCCCCAAGAAGCCCAGCCCTGAAGTAGTGACCGCCTCTGATGTGGGTCATCTGTAGCCGAGGTGCTGAGCTAATACACAGCCAGTTCCTAGCTCAGACCTGGGCCCCGTGGCATCTCTCTGGCTCCTGCCCTGCGGCCAGCACCTCATTAGGCACACAGACCATAGTCAGCTGCAGCCTCCCTAGACTCTTGCATCTCCAGCAGCTCTCGCCCCTTCTCTCGGTCTGGCTGAGGACACTGACATTCTTCAAGGTGGAGGCAGTGTTCTCTAAACGTCAGTGGCACCTGCTGGGACAGCGCCAGCCCCAGCCCCCGGCCCCAGCTTCTTTCGGTGTAGTAGGTTCTGCCTGCGAATTTGCATCTCTAACAAGTTCCCGGATGAGGCTGGGTATCTCGCTGTGAGAACCACCGCTCTAGGATGCTCCCCCTCTAGATGTGCCTGACTGGGGCTTCCTCGGGAAGTCACACTAGCTGGATTTCGGATGCTTTCCACACATCCCACCAGGAGGCACGAGGCCCTGGAGGGCCAACTCGGTCAAGGTGGTGTCTTCTAGTTCCCCGTCCCAGAGGTAACATGCGGTTACTCTTATTCAGACTGTGCACATCCTCGCTTCTGGATGCTGAACTGCGGACCTAATAAAGCCGCTGGGCACTGACCTGTGGACCCAGTATCTGTAATACAGGGGGAGGACGCCGTCAGGCCCTCTATCCTGAAACGTGTCGATGAGTCTCTCTAGCACCGTCACGGCCCTGGCGATGACACAGTCAGCTCTTAAGGGCTTCAGTTCTGCTCTGTGTTGCTTGTTGTATTCTTCGATGAGGTCATTGATGCATATCGTAGGGTTACTGTTGGTCACATTAAACCCAAAGCCTGCACAACAAACGAACAAAATGAGCAGCTCAGTGCTCAGCTCCTCGCTGGCGTCACCCAGTCCTCCACAGCCCCTGGAAAGAGCAATGGTTCTCATTTCGTGCCACTGGGGATGGAACCAGGGCCTTGTGCATGTCCAGCAAGCACTCTCCCCCAGAGCTCTTCCCAGCCCAGAAGCTACAGTCTGACCCCAACTTCTTGGCCACCCACCAGGAGTGGCGCACCCTTACTGCAAATGGGAAGGCAGGGAAGGCGGGCAGGCTGGCTGTGAAAACAGGGGCTGCTGTGGGCACAGAGACCCTGTGTGCTTCCGAAGTAACTGACCCCCGTCCCCCCAGCCTAGGCACGGAGCGTGCCGGAAAAGACCGCTGCTTTTCCTTTTTTGCGTGAATGACACAACACATGCTGGGAGACAGGAATTTTCTTCATGGTTTGAGGACGAACCCTGGTTGAGAGACTTCAAACCTGGTCACGGTCCACCTGAACATCTGTCTCTTAACCCTGTGTCCTCGGGGGAAAGCACACCTTCAGGGTCTCCTGGCAAACAGTCCCCACAATAACGGCCTCAGGAAGAAGGACGACACTGGGAGTATCACTGAAGGGACATTCTGTTGTAAAAGGAAGGATGGACTGGCCTCTGATTTTTAAAGGCATATCCCAGCCATGAAGACACAAACCAAGCTGGCAGGAGCAATGGCATAAGTCTGTAATCCTAGCTGCTCAGGAGGCTGAGGCAGGAAGACCTTGAGTTTGAGACCAGCCTAAGCAAATTAGTGACTTAGTGCAATCCTGTCTCAAAATAAAAAATAAAGAGGGTGAGGGCTAACTCAGTGGTACAGTGCTTGCCTAGCATGGCTTCCATCCCCAGTGCCACAAAAAGAAAAAAACGCTAAAACACAAGCAATGTAAATTATACCTGGAAAAACAAGTAATTACAACAGGCACAAAACTCAGTTTCTCCCTTCATCTGGCCACAGGGACCGTCAGTATCTGAAGCACCTACTGAGAGCAAAGCATTCAGTCAAGTGCTGCATAAATCTGAAAATTCTCCCTTGTGTTCAGAAAGTGAAGAGTTCTCTAGCGACACCGCGTCCCCTCAGGCTGTCTGTAGAAGGACGGAACAGCGCCCCTGCAGGCAGCTCTGACTCTTTCCCTGTTGAAGCCTCTCCCCTGCACCCCAGGGGTGCCAGGAATTTAATCAAGGCGAGGAGCCTCCCTGCAGGGGCCTTTTGCTTTCCCCAGGCTGACAAAATTCCTTAGCCCCCCGCTGAGGACGCCACGTGGGAGACCTCAGCCCCCAGCTCTCATTCAGAGATAGGAAGCGAGCTGCGCGGTGCGAAGGAGCTGCCCAGAATAATACCTCTGGCTGGCGGCGGGGCTGGAAACAGGCCTTGTGTTCTTTGGCTGGCACTTCCAACACAGGGCCGCATGTTTTCTGTTCGTTACTGATTTCTGAACACTAATTAAATTCCACTGGGCAGGTTGGCGGCTGGATGACCAGAGACCTAAAAACTTCTCAAGTTGCCTCGAGACCCATCTCCTTGCCTGATTTCCATGTGTGAGGTGAGATGGGAACTTTTTGCCCCACCTTCGGCAGTCATTATAAAGTTTAAAAAGAGACTTTTGCATAGCTGGGAAGGGCAATTTTTTTTTGTACCTGGAATCGAATCCAGGACCTTGTGCTTGCCAGGCAGGTGCTGTGCCACTCAGCTACATCCCCAGCCCTGGGAAGGACGATTTAAGAATGCAAGACCACGCCGGGTGAAGTGGTACACACTTATAATCCCAGCACTCAGGAGGCTGAGGCAGGAGGATCATAGTGAATCACAGTGAATCCAGCCTAGTTTATGTAGTGAGTTGAAGGCCAGCCTGAACTACATAGCGAGACCCTATCTCAAAAAAACCCAAAAACCAAATCAAAATAAAAAATGCAAAACCAGAGAGGGAACTGTCTTAGAAACTAACTTTCTGAATATCACAATTTCAAGTTCAACGAAGCAAGGGTGAAGGGGGCAAGAAACACCTGCTGGATGTGATTCCAATTTGGTGGCTTCCACGGCCACAGACAGGAAATGCAAAATCCCTTGAAGTGCTTTCAATCAAGCTGGTCCTCTCCATGTATATACCATGGGTTAGGACTGTAGGGCTCAGAGAAAACAGTTCTCTCACATGACAATGTAGGCAAGCATAGACTGGTTTTTTTTTTTTGGAGGTTGGTTTTTTGAGGGATGGTCTCACTATGTAGCTCAGGCTGGCCTTGAACTCACTACGTAGCCAAGGCTGCCTCGAACTCATGGCGATTCTCCTGCCTCAGCCTCCCAAGGGCTGGGATTACAGGTGTGCACCACCATGCCTGGCAAGCATAGACTTTTGATTTTTGTTGTTTCATTCATGTAAAAAATTGCTGAGGGAAAAGCTTTAAAAACTTACCGATGAGTATATAAAATGTTTCTCCCATAAGTGTCGAGTTAACCAGAACTCCACCAACCTTCATGAGGTCGCTGTAATATATGTCATTGGGCCACTTCACTCGTAGGTTGATATCCTAGAGGAAAATGTGCCGTTAATTAAGCAGTCCCAGGACACAAAGGGACTGGACAGCATCGCCTAGGCAAGAGGAAGATGAGCAGAACTAACAGAACAGGACCTCAGCCAATCACGTCTTTGGGACGATCCGGTATTAAAGTACCTCTTGTGGGTAGGGGGTGAGAGGCCTATAGAACACACGTGGCATAAATCCCAGGATTCTCCCCCTACCTCCACTTTTGCTCTGTCAAAAACACCCTGAAAAGACCTCGCTGTGAATGAAGTTCACCGACTGTCTCAGCACCAAGAAAACCAGCATGGGGGACCCATCACGCCCGGGTGTAGGGCACAGGCTGAGAAGAGGGCGACACCCGCAGGTCCTTCTCCCTTGAGAGGCTCGTGTTACAGAGACGGCCCCGATGAAGTGGGGTCCACAAGGCAGGTAGAAATGTCTTGAGTGGAATGTAGCAGACACCGAGGAGGAACTCACTTTACTGAGTTATTACAGAAAGCCTCCAAGAACTGCCAGCCATAGGCTTGGGTGGGGGCACTGCGCTTGTCACGTGGCCATGCTGCTCCATCCTGCGGGGGCTGTGGCCTGGGGCTCTGCATGTGCCTTGGTCACACCAGCTGGGCCCAGGGTGGACACCCAGGCCTCCACCTAAGCTCAGAAGCAGAGACTGGATTAGCCTGAGCGGGCTCCACAACACCTGGTTTTCAGACCCGGCGCTGCCCGCCAGGTGGGGCCAGGTGTGCGTAAAGGAAGCCCCCGGAGACGCTGGACAAGGTGAAGCCACTGCTGGCCTCCACAACCCTGGGTTGGTCCCCGTGCACTCTGGGCAGCTGGCCCGGAGCCCCTTCCTAGCACTGGTCCGCATACCCCTTGCTCCTGGCGCTGGGCTCTTCCTTTACAGAGGAAGAGATGCTGGGGCGGCTGCAGGTCACACTCTCGGAAGTGGCAGCACTGGGACTCGAGGCCAGGGCTTTCTGACACTCAGCCTGGGCCCCAAACGCTGTGTGCTGTGGCCAGCCGTCCTCGGCTTCCCACAGCTCTTCCTACGATAGCTGCTCTTCAGAGCCCTGCTGCCCCGGCACAGAGGTCAAGGCCAAGAGAAAACTGTGGGAGCCACAGCTTGGGGGGCCTGAGGCCGCAGAGGCAGGAGCTCGCAGGACCCTGCTCTGGGAAGGAGCTGTCTTTTCTGTCCAGAATCCGAGTTCTCTGAGGGCAGCTGGCAACACTGGGAGACATCCTGGGAGAGGCACGGGGGCCGAGCAGGCTCCGCGGACGCTCTTGGTTTGTGTGCTGATGTGACGCCTGACGCCCGAGAGGAGGCCACAGGAAGGCAGCTCCCCGACGGGGCCGCTGTCTGGTGGCTCTACCGTACAGGCCAACTGGGCAATGTCAAAAATCCAGTCCAGACACGCAAACTTCAATGTGGCATGGCTTCTCTTCGATGAGAAACCCAAAGCATAAATAAATCATAGAGCAAAATAAAAGAAAAGTACAAATTTTTTAAAAAACCAATTCAAAAAGTCTCCTCAGGCCAGCAACACTGCCAAGGACGACTGTGCACAGGATGAGACCTTCAGGGGCACCAGGAAGGACAGGCTTCCCGCCTCCCCACCAGCTGTGGTGCCTGGCACAGCCTCAGCACACAGCGGGAGCTCCAAGAACTCCTGCTAGGGAGGCTCCGGGTCGGACTCAAAGCTGTGAAGAAGGTAAACAGACTCACTTCATCTTAGGCTCGGTATCTGACTTGTTTTCTAAGACCAATTACCTTGTTGCTCGGGTTAAAAATGCCACTCTCATGATAGACCTTTCTATTCTGATGCTTCCTACGAGAGGAAGGATCCAGCTCAGGTGCTGTAGACTGGGCCCAAGGGGGCGGTAACGGTGTGAGGAGCCCAGGACACAGGTGCCCGGTGAAAAGTGGAGGTCGGTGACCTCACGCAGTGCAGGGGACACAGGCGTCGGAGCAGATGCACGGACACTGTGAGCGCCAGGACACGTCACGTGGGCCTGGAGGTGTGGGAGAGGCAGGGATGGTCCCATCACTTCACTGCCAGCGACAGCCCTGTCTTCTTTGAGAGCTCTGCTTTATCATCCAGCTTGAGGAATCAAGATGATCACTTGCTTTAGCCTGACCTAAGAGCCCTGGGTAGAAGGTAGCCAGCCAGGGAGCTCTGTTCAGAAGCATATGAAATTCCCACTTTGGGAAGTGGCACATGGGAAGTGGAAGAAACGCTCCAGTCACCGGGCTCATCGCTCTCTTCTCCTTGTCTTTTAATGGCTGAGACCAAAGCATCAGGCAGTAATAGTGATGCAGGCACATCTGTCCTTACAGATCGAGGGAGACAGTCCCCAACCAACCTGGACAGTGAATGTGGTCAACTGCAGACAGGACGGCTGTGCAGAGCAGGGATGTGGTAAATGGAGGTAGGAAATGAGAAGGCTTCTGGGTCCGTGAGACAACAAAATGCGGACAATCGTTCCAGCCAGGCCACCGTAGTCAGTGCAAGCCATCCTGATCAGGATGTGGAGATGGGACAAGGAGGCCGGAAGGAGATTCCAGGGAGCATGTGCCCAGAGAACCTGACCGTGCTGTGAAATGCCAAGGACACTTTGCTGCCAGCTCTGCAAAGGGCAAGGGGCAGCTCTATTCCATCCACCAAAAATGCAAACAAATGCTACAAACAAAACAAGCCAAATTCTGCAAGTTCAAGAAGGAAGTGACCGACTTAGTATTTAAACCACACATACCTGGTACTCAGGAATGGACCGCACTGCCTCCACGATGGCCAGGGACATCAGGTGCTGGACAAACGGAATCCTCTGTCCCAGCTGGGACCTCAGGGGGATGGCCACCAGCACAGTAGAAAGGGCACATCCCAAGGGGCTCAGCCATGAATTCGGCCCCCGCCCTGGAAGACAGGCCGGTTGGGAAAGCACTGCTTCACCACAAGGAAGTCTCAGCCACCCAAGAGCCAGAGCCACCCTCTTACAGCCGTCCATTCAGTCGAGTGCGCTTAGTACGCTCCTGGATGTTGTAGGTTACTCAATCAAAGAAAGACACTTTAAAATGTTAGGGGTGAGAACAGACACCAAGGACCCTGGGAAAAACCCACACTCATCCCTGGGAAGTGTTGGAAGCCACTTTTCAATCCCTATTGTGGGGATATTTGCACAATCCAGAGAATATACTAAAAACCAGAGCTGCCCACTTTCCACGGGGACTCTGGCATATGAATTTCATCTCACTAAAGTCGTTTTTTTTTTTTTGGTACCGGGGATTGAACTCTGGTCCTTGTGCTTGTAAGGCAGGCGGCAGAACTGCTGAGCTAAATCCCTGGCCCACTGAAGTCATTTTTAAAAGCTGATCCCTGACCCTAACTCTGTGAGTTGTTACTCGTCTTCCAACTGAAGTTAGGAAAGCCCAGTGATCGAAGTGAGAAATACTGTTAATCAAAGTTCTTCTAGAATGCTTTTTAAAATCCATCATATTGAGACCTGTAGCTTTCAGTAAAATAATTTTTCTTCTTTTTGAGTTATGCTCAAGAGAAAGAAGTGGAAAGCAGCAGATCTCTTCTCTCTGCTGCTTCTCAGAGAGTGGTAAGAGCCCCAGGGCTGGAAGCATACGAGGCAGTCGGAGACCAGGTGCCACTGGGGCGTGAGGCACTGGCACCAGGGAGCTGCTCCCAGCTTCAGGAGGACTCTGGCTCCTGCCTCTGACGGGCAGGTGGAGGGAGCCAGCAGCCCCTGCTTGTCTGTGTCACTGTGGGAAGGGCACTGCCAAATGTCCATGCCTGCAAACTCCAGTGCTAACCGGGAGGTGACATGGCCTTAGACACAAGGCTTGTTCTAGACCTCAGGAGGACCTTCAGGAATACGAGTGTGTCCAGAACATGTTACGATTCACGGACTACAAGGTCAGGTCCCTGGATGTCAAAGCAATCACTGCAAATGTCAGTGATTAGCAGACACTGCAGTTTGGGGGATGATTCAATTCCACCAAGGCTAAGTCTTCCCATCATAGTTTCTTTCCCTCTTGCCCCATTTCCGGCGAGTGTGAACACAGCAATTCCAATTCAAGCTGTCTCAGTGATCAGCACACACAATCAACAGGCTCTCTGGCCACTGGATCACAGATTTTAGAAAAGAAAATAACAGCAAAGATAACAAAAGGTGACTGACCTTTGCCCTCAGTCTGCCGGACTGCAATGGCTATTAAACCCATTTCCTGCGGGACCTCAAACATCAACCTGGAAACGGTGGGAAAACCAGTCAGCTAGAACCAGACACAGGCAGCTGGCCCAAGAGCTCAGACAGAAAGTGGGCAGGGCTTGTCTACACCTGTGCAAGCGAGGCCCACGAAGGGCCAACTTTAGGATTTCCAGTCCGTGGAGATATACGGCTAGAGGGATATTACTCTCCTTCTAGCTTTTTTTTTTTTTTTTTTGAGACAGGGTCTCACTACGTAGTTCAGGCTGGTCGTGAACTCAGTATGTAGCCCAGGCTGGCCTTCAACTTATGGCAATCCTCCTGCCTCAGCCTCCTGAGTGCTGAGATGACAGGCACCACCACACTTGGCTTCCTTCTAGTTTCTATGAAGAAAATGACAGAGAAGTAAGAATGAAGAAAATGTCATTTAATGGCTAAAAGGAGTGTAGATTTATCAGACGGGAAGAAAAGGTAAACTGGCCTGAGCTGTTGTTCAGTTTAAGACTTGGTTTTTTTGGAGTATCTGGTCAAGTTCTTTCCTTTCCCTCTGATGTGTGTCCCTTCTTCAAGTGACAACTGGCAAATCCCAACATTTGTTTCTACTTACAGTGTGTTTCTGTTGGAACGCTGGTACACAATCATAACAGAAGTTTCTGATTATTCAGAAAATCCAATATGGTGGCTATAAAGCCGTTTAAAAGATACACTATCCCCTGAGAACTAATTATGTTTTAACTACAGTAAATAAATCTACACCTTCTGAGAGCTCAAGAGAACCCTGGATCATTTTAGGCTTCAGTTCTGCTTTTAAAATGGTTTCATGTAAAAGAATACCAACCTCCCTTTTGGGGATAGGTAGAGAAGTGCACTAATCCCCCCCTAAAGGGTCAAAATTAGCTGGGGTTTTTTTCCAAAAATGAAAGAGGTACACACACACACACACACACACACACACACACACACACACACACACACATACACACACACACACGAGGCATAATTCCTCACTCTGTGAATCTCCTCTGAGAAACCCAGTTCTACACATTTTCCCTCCACATCAGGAGTTCTCCTCCACCCTCCAGGTGGCAGGATGTGGCAGCACGGAGCAGGCCTGCCCACTCGGCGCGGCAGGGGGCCTCCGGAATAGTTGCTATGGGGGAGCAGCAGGGCAGAGTGGAGGGAGAGCTGGTGTTCTGACTTAGCGTAAAGTTTCTGAGCATCAGTCTGGAGGGCCCACAATGCCCTGGCGAGGAGATGGGGCTCCAAACACAAACCGGAGCTCTGAACAAAGCTGGCGCACCAGCCGCTCTCGGCTCTCCTCCGGGCTAAAGGAAACGGGTGGAACTGTACAAATGGCTGGCACTCAGCAGGGAAGGAAAAGCCTTACAAGCAGAAAAGCAAAGCGGCACCACGTCCCCGCCCCGTGCCCCAGGGCCTGAAGAGCTCTGTGCGTGCAGCCCGAGCTTAGGATAAGAGGACCCCGGGTTGGCGGCCCAGGCGGGACAGGCTCTCCGGGCGCGCCGGCATGGGCCAGTCCACTCCCATCGCACATGAAATACAGCCCCTCGGGTATTTCTCTTGGACACCGTGAATAACCCATTGAGCTCCAGTGTGCCCATGCACCCCTGAGTGCCAAGAATAAAGCGTCCTTTTCTTGTGTCGGACCGGCAGGGAACCCTAAGAAGGATTCTTTGTCCACGCAGGGAATTAACAACATCTTCGAGAACCTCTGCTTTCTATCCAGTCCCCGGCACCCTTCACCTAGGCTCCTGAGGCCCTGGGCTCGGGGAGAGGGCCCGGGAGACCGGGGAGGGGGGATTAGCACATGGAGCCCACTGCAGAGGCCCTCTGCATGGCAAGCGCTTTCCGAGGTTCTCTAAATAAACATGTGGACAGGAGACAGTCAAATGCTCCAGCCAGCCACGGTGATGGTGGGAGGGGGTTGGGGCGCAGGAAAAGGGGGGTGCAGAGACCAAACCCAGACTTTTAGAACAAAGAGAAATGATTAAGGGAACATATGCACCAAACTGCTAGAGGTTTGGCAGCAGTTAACAGGGCATATTAATGAGAGGAGCGAGTCTGTGCCGCTGAAGGCCAAGAGGAAATCTGCGAGGAGGGAGACAACGGGGGAAGGCTCATGCTCAGCTGAGACAACTGGAGGCCGCCAGATTTATGTGTGCTATCGGAGGTAACTCTGGGGGCCAAACCGCACGGCGCACGGTCAACAAAGACGCATTTATGAACTCCGTCCGTTTTGCATTTCTGAAAACGAACCTGCTGCAGCTTGCTTTAGCAGAAGAAAGAAAACACAAATGCATTTCCATCTTTCCTTGATGATGCCCTTACAAAAGAAAAAGAGGAGAGAAAAAAGAGGGGTTACATGAGGATTACCTCCCAGCCCCCGTGGCAAAGGCTGTGGCATAAAAGGCTTCTGCGAGTGGGGGCTGTGTGCATTATCTGGTCCCCAAGAGGAGCCCCCGTCTGCACTCTTGCCCCTTCCAGAGCCCCGCAGGGTCATTTTGCAAGCCAAAGGCCTCCAAGTGAGTCCTTTGGTTCCTGGGGACGTCAGAGTCCCCCAGTGCTCTGCCAAAGGAACACCTTGATTATCAAGTGATTATTAAGATGGAGTTTTCTTTTTTTTTTTTTTTTCTTTTTATGGTACCTGGGATTGAACTCGGGTCCTTGCGCTTGCGAAGCAGGCGGCGAAACCACTGAGCTAAATCCCCTGGCCCTAAGATGGAGTTTTGATCATTTAGAGGAATACAGAAGACAGGCCAGGGAAACGAGTGAAAATGCTGGGCCAACAGAAATTTAAACCCAGACTCAGTCCTGCCACTTAGGGGATCTGAACCCCAACAGTCCACACTTACCACTGTGCCATGAAAGCAGAAACCTGGAAGTGACCTAATGGTTCATGAGCGAACAGTTCACTGAATGATGGGACAAGAAGTCAATGGAATAATCTGTACCATTGAAAATGACAGTTACGAAGACCACAGAGCAACATGGAAGAAATGATTGCTATAGAAATGTGAACTAAGAAGGCAAGATAAAAAATGACATACTTCTATTCCACCTAGGTAAAACTCATAGAAAAGAGTGGAGATTTCACTCCATGTCAATAGTGGCTGTATTAGGATTTTCTTCTTTTAAACAAACTTTTCTTTACTATGATTGGTTGCCTTTTAATTCAAAAACTATTTTGATTGTTTTGTGAAAAAGCATGTTTTTTACATTTAGATATAATATTTGGAATACACTATTCAGAAATATTTCTAAGAATAAGGCCAAAAGTTCTGCTTCAAAAATAAATAAGGGGATTTGAGGAAGAGAGGGAGAAAGAGAAGCAAAAATGATCAAGATGCAACACACATATGTACCAATTCCCCAAGATGAATGTAATTATGTGTCACAAATTAATAAAATTTCTATTAAAATTAAAAGGGATATGGAAATTTGGAAAATAAAGGTATTGATGTGAGAAAGGGACTAAATTACCCAGTTGCTGAAATAAAGTGAATATCATAAAAAAGAGAACCAATAACAGCTATCTGCAATACTGGTTTTATTATAAACAATGAATAAGAGCCTGTTTGCTAGAAACTGGTGAGTAGAAACTCCTAAAACCAGCCTGTTCATATGAATGATCACCTTAAAAACTGTATACTTTTTTTTTTTTTTCTGTACCGGGGATTGATCTCGGGACCCCGCACTTGCGAGGCAGGCAGCAGAACTACTGAGCTAAATCGTCGGCATAAAACTGTATACTTTTTAACCTGAGACTACACTTCCATAATTGAATCCTGAAGAGTATTCCAACAAGGAAACAAAGCAATTCCAGGACATAACTATTTACACAGCTTACTGACACACTGTGAAAAATCAGGAACAATCCAAATGGTCCATGACAGAGGAAGGAAAAAAAAAATCATAGCATCACCAAGTGAAAAATACCCAACAGCCACCAGTGACAGGGGCCAATGCCACTGGATGATATTAGGTGATGTCATAGGATACAAGTCCTAACACGTTATGATTGCAATGACGATCTAAAATAGACTTTTATAAATTGTTAAGAAATACCCCAAAATGCAGCAAATGAGTCACTCAGGTAAGTCCTTCTTCTCGTTAAGTCTATGTTCTTCTAGAATTCTTCTCCATTAAAAAAATACACATAGATATATTCTACAAAATAAGTTTCTGATGATTTGAATATTTGTATTTTGGAACTTATAAAATGATGTTTTGGAGGTCCAGTGAGGCCTTTCGGTATGCTCCAGATCAGGCCCCCCTTTCCTCATGGTGTGTAACATGTATTTCATTTAGAGAGAAAATGGGAATTTGAATCATCCAAGGGCAGAACCAAAATACCCTTCTTTGTGGTGTTCCCTAGAAACAACCCCCTTTCCTTATCTGTTAGCATGCCAGTCACTGTTAGGTGTCCTCTGCCCCAGCTCCAACATCGTAACAACATCCACGCCCTGCTAGGTCATTTCATGGCTCTCAGGAAGGAGTCCTCGGGACTCAGCTTTCAGAGGGTGCATCCATCCAGTAGATCAAACACTTACTGATGTTGGTCTGTAGTATTCAACCACAATGTATGTGAACCACTGTTTCTCACCATCAGTGGGGATGCCTGGACATCGAGGACCTCCCACGTCTGACTGTTCCATCACAGAACTCACAGACGGGCCAGGAAATGGGTAGACTGAGACAGGCATGGCGCCTGCAGCTACTGGTACCTCTGTGGCCACGCCTCCTCGACAGCACCGATCCTAGATCCTCACCTTTGATGGTGAGCCTTAATCAAACCTCTGCAGACCGGGATCAGACCATGTCCTGGCTCCTCCCTCCCCAGGAGTCTCCGACCGCATGATCTTCCCAACCCCTCTCGGCTGGTCAGATCTCATAACACATCTGTCATCTTGGGTGGAGAGCACGCACAAGCAACAACACGGTTCACTACCTAGGAAGAGGGCCAGCTTCGGGCACACGCCGTGGTTCTGTCCGAAGATGGATGCTGACACAACTTGCCCACAGG